TGTTGTGCCATGGGAATCAGCTCCCTGGATGGGGATTGAACTCATAGCACAGTGGCTGGTAGCAGCTCGACAGTAGCTGAGCCTTTAACCCTGGTGAGGCCCAGATTCATTTTTTATACATCAAAACTTTTGGGAGTTTTTAGGGAAAGTTCACAGAAATTTTAGCATCTTTTAGAATTTTCTCTTCTTCATTCTGATTCTTTGAATGTTGACGTATTTTTACACCCTTGTGTATACCCCATGCCGTTCATAGCTGAGAAGAGTTGGAGCCCAATTAAAATTGAAGGCAGTTTCGTACTGTACAGTCATAAACACGATGTGAGCGTAGACTGCCGTCATGCCAAGATATGCTCATGAAATGTTTGAGTGAAAAGAGGACTTTATAAGACTTTATAATGTCAGTTTCATTCTACAGACTGTTGAAAAAGTGTGTGTGTGTTTACACAGAGAAAGGATTTGAAAGAAACCTACCAAAATGTTAGTAGTAATTGTCAAGTATAGAAAAGGATTCTTTTGATTTATTTGTATTTTAGGTAACAAAAATTTAAAAGAATAAAAGGAACTGAGGCTTAAAATTTGTCCTCTATTTTGAAAATATTTCCACTGCAATGACAGACATATTTGCTCAGATTGTTTGGCTATGTGTTCATAAATATTTAAATTTTCAGTTAGGTTAAACATTAATGTCCCTAGCCCCCCGTTCACACTGTCAGATTTTTAGTATACTGTTAAGAAATGAGAGGTTGATAAGCAACAGGTTATTTCCAACCTTTCATTAGCAAAAATAACTTGTTACACATAAAGTTAGAATAAGAAAACTAAATTTCCAAAACACTAAATGCTTTCAGATATATCATAGTTTGCAAAAACAAAAACAAAAAACAAACAAATAAAAAAATGCCCGATAGCACACCAAGCATTACCTATTCATTTTCAGCTGATTTATAATTTCAACCAAATTAGATTTTGACTTAATGATCTGCTGCTTCCTTTGGGCCTGTCTGGCAGCAAGAAGAAGCTTCCCTAGACTCTGTCCACTCTGTCCTAGAGTCCTAGGTAGGACTGAGAAGGGGGTAGTGAGAGGCTGAGCTGGATGGAAAGACCGCAAACCCCATCACAAAACTGAGGCAACAGGCCAAGGTTAGGGCCTGAGCCAAGGTTGCACAGTGATTTGATGTCAAGCTGGGATGCAAAGCAGGTCAAGGTGATAGGCCTCTGGAGGGGTCTTCACTCAGCACAGAGCTAAGATAACCAATTACATTGAATTTCCAAGAAGCAATGAGTAATGTTTTAGCATAAGTATGTTGCCAATATTGCAAATACTGCTTCTCAAAAATTCAAATTTCACTGAATTGTTTTGTATTTTATCTAACAACTGCTCAGAGCCTTCCCTGTGAAGACCATGCCCCAGGCGTCCCCCAGCTGCAGTTCCAAAAATCCCCAGGGCTCTGAAGAGCACTAATCTCTGTCTAGATGCAACCCTGACCCAACCACTCACATTCACACCTTCTTGCCACAGTTGAAGTTTCTGGCTCCTCAGCGCCTCCTTCCGTACTATGGCCAACATCCATCCTACCAGCTCATCAAGGCCCCTCCTCCACACTCTCCTCTGGGCCACAGCTGTTCCAAGCTCAGGGTGGCCTCTATGTAGTTAGATGTCTGGATTTCTATCTTGTCTCCCACCTGATCCTCCTTTGTCACCAATCTGGTTTCCAGAATCCTGCCTTGGCCTTTTCGCCTTCCCTCCTCCCTGTCTCCAAGCTTGGCCTGACAATTCACCAACCCTGGTGGTGAATGTTCAGCAGCTGATATCTGCTGTTCTTTCTCCAACTGGACCTCTCTCCCTGGTCCAGGCCCATTTGTCCCTTGCAAGCTGGGCATTCCAAGGCTTCAGGGGTCCTAGATTGTCCACTTTGCTCTTCTCTTTGCTTAGAAACCTTTGAGGACATTTCACAGCTTTGAGATAAAGTCTGGCCTCTTGTCTCTGTAGACAAACTCCTTCATGGTCTGCTCCTGCCCACTTCCCCAGCCCCCTGGATGCCACTCAGGCTTTCCAGATTGTTAGGTTTTCTCACAATCCCATTGTGCTTCCAACAGTCTCAAAACACCACCCCCCACTCACTCCTGCTCACTTTGGAAGACTCAACTTCCATGTCATCTCTTCTGGAAGATTCTCTTCAGGTGGGTTTATCTGCTGCCTAATTTCTCTCCACTTTGTCCATTATATTCTGAGTCACTTCGGATTTTTATTTTTCCCCTCTCTCTTCTTAAGAAACAGATGGGATTGTATTTTCTCTCCCTCTGGATCCCAAGCACCCAGCCCAGTGAGAGACCCCAGGGCTTGGACCCTGAGCCTAATCTGGATCTCACCAACTTGATCCCAGCCCAATCCAACTCTGTCCAAGACCCCAACTGACCTCATCTAAGACCCCAGCTTTTAACCCTGACCTCACCCTGACATTGACATCATGCACAGGGCACAGTTCTCCACTGAAGGAAGAATACAGCATCTTAAGTCTACAGTGGCAGAGTTAGTTCCTTAAGGACTAACAGCCTTCTGACTGCAGCCCATCTCTGCTTCTCATTGCAGAATGGCCTTAGAGCAAGTCAGAGTGGGGACTTGGTCAATGAATTTCCAGATGTCATGCAGTCTCATGGCACCCTCTAGAGGACAGCTCTATTACCAGAGCTGGCTTTGGGCCACTCTCCCCCATAAGGTAATGCCCAGTCTTGGGCGGACTTACTGGCCACCACCCCACCTGGAAGATCCCTTTAGTCTGCAGACCAGCCACCACTCCCTCTTGTCTTAGCTCCTTGTCATCTGTTCAAATCCTAAAATGTCCTAACCTTGGATAACAGCCTCCAAAAGTCCTTTCAGACGGTAGCTGCTCCCTCCCTCTCTTGGTCAGTGATTTCCCACAACCTGAATCTGAGCTCTGTCCTCTGGCTTGGCTTTGGCTCTTGCACAGAGGACTTCTTGGCCTTTCCCAAGTGAAAGCAAGGGATCAAGGTTTCCCCTTCCCTTGATCAGATGGAGAATGAGGCCCAGGCTGCTTCTTCCCCTCTTAAACAAGGCCGTCAGAAGACCAGACCTAGCTTTTTGCCTCCCTCTCAGGCTGGTGTTTCCCTGCAAATACAGTGTATGTATCCTCTTTCCCTTTAGTCTGGGGAGTCCAGGGCTGGAGTTTCCCCGCCCTCCTTCAGAAAGAAGATTCCTTGAGGATTGATCCAGCGTTTGCCTCCAGACTGTCTTCAGAACTTTACACCTTTAGTCCCCATTCTGTGTGGATCTCCCCACAACCAGGGACCAGGGGACTACCTTAGGTCTGAGAGGCTGGGAGGGCTTCTGAACTGGATATCTGGTTTGGAGAACATGTCCATTGGGGCTGTGAGGCCCAGAGTGCCCACTTGAGCGTTCTCTGCCTCTGACCTCATAAGGGCTGCCCAGAATCTGGTTTCCGTGGCGCTGCTGGCAGGAAATAGATGCTATTTTGGGCAGTGTGTCTAGATTTGGCTCAAGCTGCCAAACCCCTGCCCCACTGACCTCTCCCCTGGAGGAGCAAGAGTAGCTCACAGGGCGTCCTGACGAGAGCTCAGAGGCTGTAGACCAGGACACAGGGACAACGGGGTCCCTGCTGGGGATATAACCAGGGTCTGGGACACTGACAAACCAGCCCAGGACCTGCTATAACGAGAAGGTGGACACTGGGAAACAAGATACATTGGCAACGTGAGTGGGGTCCCAGGCAGTGCTGGGAAGTGGCTGCCTGGATCCTGGGCCTGGGAGTGCTGGGTTCTACTGATATATGGGGAGGAGGTGACCAGGGGACTGTCGGGGGAAGCAGCCCCAGCAGGGAGTGTCTATTCTGGTTCAGTTCTGAATTGCTGTGTGACATGGGCATGTCACACTCATTCTGGGCATCTGTGTCCCCTCCTGTAAACTGACTGTGGTAAGGCAGAGACCTGGCAGATGTGCTGGGTTGGGCTGTCAGCAAAGCATGAGCGTGGGGTGAGGAACAACAAAGACCAGTGACATGGAACCAGTGCAGAAGGGGTGCAATGGGGGGCCGCGGGGTGTTTTCTAACACCGCATTCCCTTCCCCTTTCCCCTGGGGTTAGAGACTTTCTGCACTCAGGGTCAGGGCGTGGGTGTGCTGCAGCCAGAAGCAACTGGGGGTAGAGAACGAAAACGTATGGAAGAGGGAATCAAGGGTTCCTTATGTGTTGTCATTTGCAAGAGAAATGGGAACATGGGGGTTTTTGAAATTTGAGAGGGAATTCTGACTTTTTTTAAGGTGGGGATATGGACTAAATAAGTTTTTAAAATTTATGCATACAAGAACTGGGCTGTAGGCCAGAAATTTTGGGGGGGAGGGGAAGGATTCACCAGAGACAGAGTGGGGAGCAGGATAGACTGACTGACAAAGTACACTGCTGAGGGGAGCAGTGCGAGGGTCAGGAGAGGTCTGCTGTGCCATGTGGGTCAGCTTCCTGGTCAGGGGTTCAACTCATGCTACAGTGGCTCATGATAGCTTGATAGAGCTGAGACTTTAATCCCTTCTGCCACCAGGGAGTCCCAGGACTAAATAAGTTTTAAGGGTCTTACTCTGTGCGTGTGCAAGCAGATGCCTGTGCAAAGAGGGGTCCTGGGAAGTCAGTTTAAACAAGAAGGTTGAGGTTAGACTAAAGGCAGGGATAGCTGCATGTGTGAGCGTGGCTGTGGCATCTCCACAGGCTTGTAGGGTTGGGAAAGTCAGGAAAGCCTCTTGAGGGACCTGGTCCCTGGATCAGGGAGTCCTGGAGCTGGCATAAGTAGAGGGGGTTGGACCCCAGGGCTTCTTCCTATTAGCTGAAATAGCTCCATCTTTTGTCCTCTCTCCCTGCCAGTTTGGTTGAAGGGTTGACACTAGCAGGATTTGTTCCTTGGCTTCTCCCCTGGTGGGGGGCCACATTGTGTACCCCCAATCACAATGATATCTCTTTGGCTCCACAGAATTAAGAAGTCTCAAAGACAACATGGCTCAAAAAGAGGGGAAGAAACAGTAAGCACCTCAACATTCCCCTGCCTCAGCATCTCAGTCCCCATACAGTGCACCCCAGTGCACTCCCTCCCTCAGGGTCCGCTCTTTCTCATGGCAGCTGATTCCCTCCCCACCCTCTTGCCCTTCTTCCAGCTCCCCAACTAGCCTATAGGACCTCAGAAAGATGGCCTCTCCCACCTGCACTCACAGCCCAGCACAAGCAGGGCCCTCAAGAGAGGAAAGACTTAGAAAGAACTGCATGAGGTCAAGGGGTGGTCAGTGGGTTCTGCTGCCCTGTTAGTGGTGCTCAAATGAATTGAACTCACTGCTGCTCACTGTCTCAGGCTCGGGTGTCCTTGGGCCGAAACAAAAGTCAAGTCCTTGCAATAGCTAAGGCCTTACCTATGTGGTCCCCTTCTCTGATGCCCCCACACCTCCTCTGTTCTCATCACACCAGTCACATCGACTCCCTTTCCTTTCCTTCATGTACCCAGAGTCTCTCAGTGACTGTTCTTTCGGCCTAAAACACTCTTCCCATCGTTAGCCCCATGCAGCTCCCTCACCTCCTTCAAGTCTTTGTTCAAGAACTACCTTCTCTGTCTTCTCTTTTTTCCTGCAGATCTTTTTAAAGAATTACTTTATTTTTAACTGAGTACTATTTGGGCATCCCCATCAGCACCATAGTGCACCCACCACCATAGTCCCCCACCACAGTCAATTAGTCAATTGTGCCTCTGTCCTTCTTTGTTCTTATGATCTCTCTCACTCACTCCCCTGCTTGGAGCTTCATTTCTGTAGCCAGCCCTCAAGAGTTATTTTTTTTAAGATTTATTTATTTTTGAGATTTTTATTTTTTTATGCATACAGAACTGGAAACAGAGGTGCAGGGGCGGTGAGAGGTTTCACCAGAGACAGAGTGGGAGCAGAACAGGCTGACTGACAAAGTACACTGCTGAGGGGAGCAGCAGGGCAAGGCAGGAGAGGTCTGCTGCGCCATGTGGGTCATCTCTGGGGCCGGGATTGAACTCATGCTGAAGTAGCTTTAGCTTCTCAGTGCTGCGCTACCAGGGAGGACCCTCAAGGGTTAATTTTTTTGCTTGTCATTATCTGACACTTAGTTACTCTCTATTCCACATATTAGTGACACTTCCCAATGTCTATATTTCTCCTTCTGACTTACTTCACTGAGCATGACCCCTTCTAGCTCCACCATGTTGCTGCAAATAGCATGACTTTGTCTTTTTCGGTGCTGAGTAGTATTTCACCCCACCCCTCACATCATCTTGATTCACTCATCTGTTTTGGGTTTGTTTTGAAATTTGGAGTAGATGCCTAGGTGTGGAATTTTTGGGTCAAATGGAAAATCCATTTTTAATATTTCAAGACACTTCCACACTGTTACCATAAGGGCTGGATCAGTTTCCATTCCTATGGAATGATATGATGTATTAGGATTCCCTCTTCTCCAGAACTTGCTGTGTCTAGTCTTTTGATGTGGGCCATTTTCACCTGTGAGATGGTATCTATCTCATTGTGGTCTTGATTTGCATTTCTCCAATAGTAAGTATGGTGAAAATATTTTTAATGGCCTGATTGTAGTCTGACTACTGTCTTTGCCCATTCTTTGACTGGGTTATTTGTTTTGTTTTTGAATGTTTATGAGTTTGTTTTCCTGGGGCAAGGACAGAGCAAGGAGCAGGGTGGGTAAGATAAACCTGGCATTTCAGCCTGAAGGGTGGAGTGGGTTTTTATTATCTATGTCTTGTTTACATTTCTCACTCTCTGCTTACTCTTTGCCCTCTGTAAAGCAGAGAAATTTGGGCCTTGGGTGGAGCTGGGGGTGATGCTGCCATCCTTATCAGGGTGAGTCAGTTGAAGCCGAGCTGATGTTAGCTTCAGGCATCCAGCCAGGGTGTGAGGGGAGGATCATCGGTCTGAAAAAGCACTGAGGCCACACTGAAGGTGTCTGTACCACTCCTCTTCCTCTTTAGCCTCTAGACCCCCATGTGCTTCCTCTAATTTGACCCCTACACCCACCCACCCCTGACAGACAATGGAACCTTTAAGCCACTGTCCCATCTGTCCAGCCATGGGTTGAGAGGCCAATGGTCAGCAAGTGACTTGCTCATTTCTGGGCTTGGCTGCAGCTTCAGGCACCACCATCACCACCATCATCACCACAACAAGATCTTGTCGCCCATGTTAAAAAAAGTGAAAATCATGCGGGAGAGGATGATGGTGCGAATGTTCCTGGCTGAGTTCATAAGCACATACGTGATGATGGTGAGTAGCTGGGAGTTGTGGGATGTGCGGGGTCTGCAGAAGGGGCATAGACCCCAGTGCTTTGGGAAGGTGGGCTCTGGCAGGACAATCCACGACCTCCTCCCCACCACTGACCCTGCATCCCCCACTGTTCAGTCCCTGGCCTTGGAGCTGATGGGGAAACATAACAAGTGTAGAAAAGGAAGGAGAGAGCTCAGTCTTTCTCATCAAGTCTATTTGGGAGAGACCAGGATAATAATATATGGAGGCAGAATGAAACCCTGGACTGGGGCATCACTAGAAATGGAGAGAAGGGAAAGTAAGAGTAAAGAGAGTGAAGAGAACACTGAATGTCTGGCTTTGAGAATTAATCCTGAGGGCAATGGGGAGACACTGAAGGTTTCAAGTAGGGAATGATACAGAAGTAGGTTCTGGGTGCAGGATGGAATCTAAGCAGGATGAGCAAGGCCAGTGGAAGGGGAACCAATTAATGGGCTGTTGCAGTGATGTAGGATAGAGTGTGGTAACTGGGTCCTGATATGGAGAAGAAAGTACATATTTGAAGGGACTGTAGGAGATGGATCAAAGAGAGTACCAGCACAGAAGTGGATTGGAAACCAAGGGGGCCATTCTGGAGCCCAGGGTCCAGTGCAGAGGAGACATTTGGACGTGCCTGGTGAGATGCTGGGGAAGACATCCGGGGGGAGCTGAAGAGGGTGGCTTGGGCTGTGGAAGAGTCAAAAATCATAAGAATATGCATGTTGGTTATAAAACTGTTTCATGAGATGGGGAGAGAGATAGAGAGAGAGGAAGTTAAGTAAGAGCCCTGAAGAATGAAGACTAGTCCAGAAAGGCATCTGGGAAGTTGCAGCCAGAAAGTGGAGGAGAAAGTGGGAGGGTGCCATGTTATAGCAGAGGAGGTGGGGTCCCACCAAGAGGAAGTGAGCAGCAGTATGGGAAGCTTGGGCCGACTAGAGAGGTGAGCACTGACTGCCCTGGGGTGGGCATGTGGACGATGGAACAGAACCCAGACCACATGTCAAGTGGACTGTGACATTTCTTAGAATCTCCCTCTCTCCACCTGCCATGCACCAGCCTCTCTTCCCCAAAGCTGTAGCTGTGCTTGCTTATACCTCCTGGAGGGCCCAGGTCCAGGAAAAGAAGGGACAGCTTCTTGGAAGCGAAGCAGAGATGGTCAGGAGCACTGAAGTGTGGGGGGAGAGAGGCAGTGTGAGTGCGTGGTTGTGTGTGTACATAGGAGTGTAGCTGGCTGTGTGTGTGAGTGTGTGTACGTGTGTATTGAGCCTTGGTGTGAGAGATGCTGATGCTCACGGAGCCCAGGGAACTCTGGACATCCGGTACATTGATTCTGATCTTGTCATGGAGCCATCAGCTGGCTCCGGCAGGTCTGATCTTGGTTTACAGCTTGTATTCTGAGTTATTAAGTGTGCTGCATTAGACCGTTAGGGGTTTTGGAGCTAGGTTTGAAATTTTTTTAGCTGTGTGATCGTCCATGAATCTATTAAATGCTACTTGGTTGGTAAATGGGACACTGGTGTTCAGCTGGCCACCTTCTGTGAAGAAGGCCAAGTGCCCAACACCCAGGGCACAAGTAGGACACCAGTGTTAGTCTCTCTCTTATCAGTGTGACAAGTGCTTTCCACACTGCCGCTGCCTCCACCCTCGCTCCTCCCACCCTCGTGCTCTCCCTCTGTGAGGGCAGATGGCACGTGATTCAGGACAAAGGAGAGCACTTGTGACAGAATATTCCAGCTTTGTGAAGCCTGTTTAATCTTGGAACCGTGGAGGCTTTCGAGTAAACTCCTGAGAAAGGGAAGGTTGTTCTCAGGGAAGCAGGCACAGCCCTAGGCATCGATCCCTCCCTGTCTCCATTTTTCTTCCCCTCACTGAGGTTATTACCGAGACCTACTGCGTGCAGGGCACTCCCAAGCTGAGCTCCTTACTTTTAGCATCTTTCCGAATCCTCCCAACAGCTGGAGGAGGATGCAGGAGGAACTGTTGCTGTCTCCATTTTACAGATGGAGAAACTGAAGCTCTGTGAGACTAAGGCACTTGCCCATGGTCACATTTTTTTTTCCTAAAGATTTTTTTATGCATAAATGGGCACAGGCCAGAGGGGCAGTGAGAGGATTCACCAAAGACACAGTGGGGAGCATAACAGGCAGACTGATGAAATACACTGCTGAGGGGCAAGGCAGGAGAGGTCTGCTGTGCCATATGGGTCACCCCCCACCTAGCTGGGACTGAGCTCACACTGAAGTGGCTGCAGCTAGCTTCATAGTGCTGTGCTTCAACACGTTGCGCCACCAGGGAGGGCCCCACAGTCACATTTTAAGTTAAGATTAAAGCTAATTAGTCTAAAAGAAAAGAAAAGAAAAATCCAGAAAAGTTAAAAAAACATAAAGCTACTCAGTCTAATAACACAGCCTTGACTCCCAACGTCTACGCCCTGTTCCTTAGTTTAGGATTTCTAAGACCCTGGCTTATTAACTACCCCAGCTGAAATGAGGCCCTCAACTCTTCAGTTTTGAGTAGCTCAAGATGCCACTCCAGGCCTCGGTTTCCCTATTGTGTAGTGGGAACAGAAACATTTGCCAAGCAGATTTTCTGTGAACATTAAGGGGAAGTAACACTTGTAAAAGAACTTTATGAGGTTTGAGTTCATACAAAACATGGTATTGTTGTTATTTTTAGTTGTTACTTTCTGTGCCAAGAAGTGGGAGCTTTTCAGTTTGCAGGAAGCCCAATGAATCATCAGGGTGAAGGTTTTTCCAGAAAAGTTAGTGTGACCTTGGGCCCCATTTACCACAGCCAGAAGGAGGGACTGTTCTACTTTGCAACCTCTGGTGTATTGTCTTCAGTGCTGACCTGTGGCTACTGCTAGAGAGGCAGGCTGGACTCCAGGTCGCTAAACAGAGATGGAAGGCACTGGATAACCAACATAGACATGATCCACAGGTAGGACTTATAAATACAGGTCACAGGGGCCAGAGAGTCAGCACAGCGAGGGGGGATGTGGCTAACTGCAGAGTGTGAATCTGTGGCCATGCAGCTGATAACTGGCCAGCATTACCCAAGTTCCTGATTTTTCAAGAGAAGCTGAAACTTCTGGTCATCAAAAACAAGACAGCAAAACAAAACATGTGTGCTGGATGGTTCCGTCCGTGGACTGCTGTTTTGTGACTCGAACACAGGAGATCACAGGTGGCTTAGTCACTAGTCCATTATGTTTAGCATATAGTTGCAAGCACCTACTTGGAAATGGAGACCCTCACTGTCAGACCCTCCCTGCCTGCTCCCACCCCTGTACCTCCTGCCTTCCCCCAAGCTGCAGGCCTTTCCCAGCCCACACCCCAGCTGTTTCTGCCTTCTCTTGCCACAACCTACCTTTGACCATCCGGTTCACCCCTCGACTCCCTTATGTCTGTCCTGGGATTCCTCAGGGACCCTGTGGACCCTGCTCAACTCCCTCTCCTCCAGTTCACTTTTCCTCAGACTCCACCCAAGTGGCTCTCTATTTGCCAATCTCTAAAAAACCACTAAACAGCCTGATCTCCAGCTTGACAGAAAATCATGAGACAGGCTCCTCATGTCTGGCTCCTCACCCACCTGTCTGTCTCAGCACCAAATCTTCCCTCCCTAAGCATTTACATAGCTCCCCTCTCCTTTATGGAGGCCCCTCCACTCCTGTGTGAGGCCTTCTACCCCCCACCCCCACTCAGGCACTTTATCCATCTTTTCCTTGATCCTTTGTCTTCAGTCTTTCCATTGAGAACACAAAACACCCCTCCCTTTACTCCACGAGTCCCTTCATTTATCTCTTGCTTCCTTCTTAAACATATTTTCAGAGATATCTACACTGGTACCTTTCCACTCTGTCTCACACCTGCTCGCCTCCTAATCCCGGGGACCTGTTTCTGTCCCCACGACCTGCTGATACAGTGCTCACAATGTGCACTTGACCCAGAGGCTGCCTGTGACGGGTGGGCCACACCCTCCTTGCCGAACTGCTTCTCCCTGGTGGCCATGGCACATTCTCTCTTTATTCTTTTCTCATTTCAACACCTGCTGCAGCTGGGGTTCCTAAATCCACCCACATGTGGGCTCCAATGTTAACCCTCAGCTACTTTCTCACCCTGCACCCTCTCCTAGGAGCTGTCATCCTTCCTGAAGCTAACAACGGTAGCCCTAAAGTCCACAATTCTTCAGGGTTTTTTTTTTCTTTTTTTT